ATGAATATTGTTTCCCCTTCTAAAACTCCCCATGGGTGGACTTCATATAAAACCCAGGCATCCTGTAGTTAGGGGCCAGTGTATGTTGACCTTAAGAATAATAAGGAAAGTTTTGAAGACGCGTCTCTGACCCAGTGAGTGTATCTGTGTTTAAGTATAATTGGTTTTCTGGAGTCATAGGGATATCAGCACTTGTGAAGATGCCTACAGAAAGCAACACAGGCTAAAGGAAACCTCTCATGTGGAAGTGTCCTTGTTAGGAATAAGAATGTGTGCAGCTGGGAGTCCCAAGGGAACTTACTTAAGTTTGCTTTGATTTTGTTTGGAAATTGCTACTTTAAATATAACATTTTTTTTCATTATTTATTTAAATATGAATACCAGTGTATTTGAATTTCTGTCAGAACAGTGACAACCCCCATCACACCCAGTATATTCCTTGACATTTCTAGAGCACTGACACACATGTATATGCAGTGCTTTGCAAAGGTCCACGCTTGTATTTGACTCGTTATAGATTTGATTTCCCATACCTGAACATCCATAAGCCTGTCTTTTCCCTAAGAGCTTGAACACTTAGCTATTCCTGTGCAAATTGGAAGTAAAATGCCACCAGTATGAATGTAGAGTTCAGATTTGGTAGTACAGCACTGTCCCAGTGCAGGAATATATGACTAAACGAGGTACTGGCTGGTGGAGAAGCTGATTGTAAGCCTGGAGGTATAGGTTGTGACTTCCGTACTTCTGTTTTAGCTGCATTGGAGCCTGATGAATTGTTCCCTTTTCTATGATAAAGGTTTAGTTGTGCATTTTTTACTTATTTTTTTTTAAAGAAAGTATTTGAAGTGTTTCCTTGTTGAAGCAGACTAGCCTTTATTTAGCGAAAAAATGGTAAACCACCAAACTTTATTTAAATGTTAGTAGGTAAGGCTCCAAGATACATAGTTCTAGTCCAGCTATAGTTCATGCTGGTGTTCAGCAGTTGTTGTTAGTTATGAAGTTTCAGTATCTTCTGTCAAGGCATAGTCAGTCTGGTGTGGTATGGATCTGGATAAAAAGGGATGAGTCCTTTAATATACCACCTTTCCATTTTCACTTCCTTATTAAAATGTACAGAATGGGGAGCATTAGACTACAATATTCATTACCAGTTTGAAGTGGGTCTGTTTGATGTTCCACGTGGTTTTAATTTTTTCCTCTGCTCTCCTTGTTTTAACAATGGAACTAGTACACAGAAACCACATTGACAAGTAGGATGCTGCTGGGTCAGCAAGTGCTGTATTCTGTCGCCTGCAACTGGCAGTGATGCTGCTGGCAGTGAGTGGCAACCTTTTGTAGCAAAGCATCTCATGACGTGTTGAACTTCTAAGACACTGTTCTACAATAGAGTACATGAAGAGATACTTGGTTTTCATGAAGTGCTGCTTAGTTTGTTTGTATTATTTAATGTTTTTATTAAGTAAATGGTTTACATATTCCAGTTCAGTGTTGTATTGTGTTCAGAAGCAGTATCTGTGGGTGGTTCTTTGTGTAAGGGACCAGAGAGTGGTGGTCCCCAGAGAAAAATACATTGCTGTTTCTGTTTTGTGTTATCTTCAACTTATTGAAATAATTTGATTTCCAAACTTTCAAAAGCTTTAGGACTGATGTGGTCAATTACAGGAATTGCCAGTCGTATCTGTCTTGTTTAGTGCCTCACGCTTTCTATTCACAGCGAATTATTCTTTCCATATTGCAAGCATGTTTGCTTTTCTCTCAGAAGATGTTAAATACCAGTACTTTATTGAAATAAAGCAAAACAATAATCCAGTTATTTTTATATTTTAGTCAAAAGCTAAGCTTTGACATCAATTTTCTTGCTTAGTTTATAAAACAGTGCCTACAAAATCCCCCAAAATTGCTCATAAATACTGTATTTCTATGTCTCTTAGCAGTTACGTAGCTCAGCCTCTACCACCCTTCTGCTAGAAAATTCTCATGAGGAAGTAATGGAAGGAGACAGTAAGTTAAATGACTGAAGGGTCAGTTCAAGTTTTTGTGTTTTATTTTCTGATTTGTAATCATTTGCGTAAGTCCTGCTTACTTTACTGTGTAATACAATATATGCTTGAGTTCAATGTCTTTTTATGCATTTCAGCAAACAGTATGTTTGAAATAGTGTATATTGAAGATTTCTGTATTACGAGATGGAGTTTTATTTTGTATTGCTGGTCAACTTTTATAATTTGTATCTTTGTTTCAAGTTGTGAGCAGGATATTTAGACATTTACTTAGGTGACTTATCTGACAGATGGCCTTTGATCTAATTTTCCAGTTTTTCTCTTCAACTGTACTTAAAGCCACATACAGTAAGAAAGTGAAGATTATATTTTTCCAAGTGATTATTGTTAGTGTTAAGAGTACAGGGACAGGTTGTTTTGTGTGCATTACGACACCAGTGCATAAACAGCAGCAAAAAAAGAATGCAAGGAGTGTCTCAGTACCACTTGTGTTTAAGTACTTTCAAATCACATTTTTTTAAAGGAATGAAATAGTACAGGCAACCAGAGGCTGGCTTCAGTTCAGCTGCTGGCTGTTTGCACTGCCGATGAAGATTTTCCCAAAAGGGGAAGGGCAGTTCGCACACAAACATGAGGTGTGCACAAGATGTGCGAGCTGGTTCTCACATAACTCACAAAACTCTTGAGTTTTGATCACTTAAAGGTCTGCGTCTACACATCTGAAAGTTAAATAAAAAGGTATTCTTGAGGAAATGCATGAGCATTTGTAATCAATTTATGCATTTCACATATGTAATCAATTCCACTGCAGGCCCTAGCTGATACAGATGCTTTTCTGCATGAAATCCATTTCTCAAGCTTCACTGACACATATGCATCATCTTTTTTTCATGTGGAACATTGATAACCCTGTAGGCACTGTTAACCCCTTCAAGTGTCATGTATGTGAAAAGGTCCAAAATGTGGATGAGATTTAGCTTACCACATGCTTTCAGATGACTTCAACAATTTGAACAGATGGTCAGAAATATTTTTGTCAAGAAGAAACCTTGTGAATAAATATAAGTAGGGTTGAGACTGTTTTTCAAAGCTACCCTGAAGTGTTTGAGGCTTTTTTTGTTGTCCCTAAACTAGATAGAAATTATGCATCAATGATCTAGAAGAAATCTCAGCTTGTGTTGTTTCTTAGAGCTGTAAAACTCTTCAAGAAGAATCTGCATCATCACAGAGTTCCTTGGGTTCTGCCAGTATTAAAAATGGCTGCAGTGGGCACCTCCAGTAGGTATACACATTTAATTACAAAAGACTAGTAATTCTGCAGTAGACTGGCATGGTTCTTGTGGAGGCTCCCTTTGTTTCACGATAGAGGATTTATTCTAAAAGAAACCCAACATTGAAGTCAGTGCAGATATTGACGTCATTGGGGATTTTGTCCCAGGCATGTATTACACTCTTGCATTTGAACTGGGGAACACAGCAGTTCATTGTGATAGGAAGGTTTGGGGGTTTGTTTGCTTTCCTTTACTGGCACCATGCCTGTTGTGCAGATTCGAAGTTACCAGGGCAGTGATGCAGCCAGGTCCTGGGATGCATAGTGGTTTTTGCAGCTTAGAGCTCAGTGACTATTTCTGGAGAATCTTAGTTATATGCTGAAGTAATTATTTCATCATTTTGAGGTTGATGTATCTTGTCTTTTTGTGAGATCCATGACCTGTTCAGGAAGGCAGTGGACTGGCCATCTCTGCTTCTTCAACACTATAGCTAACTATCGGTGGTTTTCTTCTTTTTCCTGGGTGCTGTGTTTATGCCAAAACACAAGGCAACTTTTTAATTTCTAGTCATTAAGTAACAATGATGCAGTAGGACAAACCTGCTGTTTCCTATTGCTTCTGTGTTTGTATTTTGTGCCTGACTCTTGACTTAAGAAGCCACTCTTGTCTATGTATCATCAGTTTCATTAGATTTTCACAATTCATTTCACTTTGGCATCTACATGTTCTTGCAGTTTACTTTAGGTGCTATGTAATCTACATTATCATCGTGTCTGGATTCTTGTGCAGTTGCTTTGGGGTTCCATCTCTAGAGGGGAATTTTTGAATTGCCCCAAAATACTGTTTTGATCTTTGGAAAACATTAAAACTCTTGCTTTCACACATTATTTCTCCTATGCAGAAGATCTGTGCATCACTAAAATTCCACTCACCTCCTCATGTAAGTGCTAAATTTAGAAGTAAATATTACTCAGATCTCTTTTGTAGAACTGTCTGTGTGGATGAATTTCATTAATTGTATTTTGATGAATACAGTCTTTTAAATTCAGCTCGAACCTTTCCTCAAATCTTAACATAATACAAAGCAACATTACAATACAGGAACACACCTCTATGTACAAATACAAGCATTGTCATATGTTTGTTTTCAGGTGTTTTGTGTGTTCCCACAGAGCTCTCTTGAGCACAGGAAGAAATGCTTCTAATGATGCTCAGCAGTACAGTCACTATAAAATAAGCTCTTTTTCCCGTGATATTACCATCATACTGCACAGCCATCATCACGTGGTGGATGGTAACTCATTATTGAGGAGCCATTCCTCTATAGGAGAAGCACCCTAAGGGGTTTCATTTAGGTATTTCTGCGCCTTCTGCATAACAGCTGCCATTCCTGGAATAACTTCTCCAACAGGCTTCAACATATCAGCCATGTAGGAGTAGATATCTTTCTCTCCTGAATAACCTGGGAAGGTGTTACAAGTCTTTAAGCCTCAGATTGCTGGTAAATGAACTTCATCTACCAGCCAGTTTTAGAAGAGCAAATGTTTATTACATACAGGGAATATGGTTCTGTAAATATAGATATACACTAAGAAAGTGTGTTATTAATTTATTGATTCTGCAGATCCAAAATACATAGTTCAGGCAGTAGACCTGCAAGGAAAATGTCCCAGATTGTAAATACAGGGACACCTGCTGCTGCCCTTACACTGCAGTTACCCCTGTGAGTAACCCATTACCTGTAAGTCTTTAAAACTGCTTATCTGCATCTTGCCCATTGGGACTAATCCTTGTAGAGGACAAGCCAGTAAAACTTGCTAGCAACAGTGGTTTCCTGACTCATTTCTTCAGGGACTTTCTTTTCAAGATATTTTTCTTAAACAGGACAAGTGGTTTCAGAGAGTGGGCAAAAAAGGCTGTACCTTACCTTGTTGATCATGGAGAAATTTGTACCTTAGAAAGACTTCATGGGCGTGGAACCTATACTCAGATTTGGAAAGAATATTCCCTAAGAAAGAAGGTAAAGGTATTGTCTTTTTGTTTTGCTAAAGTAATAGTTAGCTTGCTAAGTTAAGGCTTAGTTTGATGAATGTTTTCTTATTCATATGAGTAAACTTGCTGAGTTAAATAGGATTGTATGACTACAGTTGATACACAAAAGTAATTTCAGGAGTCCATCCTCATGCTGTACTAATTTCTAACCTTTACATACCCTTTAAATGAAGTAGTTGAAGTAAACCAGTTAAATTATGGGAGGTTTTCCTTTAGCTGTGAATTAGTGTGGGTATTAGCCAGCATTTGTTAAAATCACAGTCAAAGCAGAGTTACGTATTCCTTGTACACTGTGTCTGAGATGGAAAACCTTTATATTGTTCAGGTAATATTATAATTCCTTAGACTACACTTTCAACTTCAGTAACATGGATGGTTTTTGTTCTTTTTTCTTTTTTTCCAGAGAGAAGAGGATCCAGGACATTTATTCTTTTCCTTTAAAAATTGCTGAAAAATGACTAAATAAATTATTTCTGATTCTCAAAATAAACGGTTTGATATTTGCTTTCTTGTGCAATCCTTTTAGTAGCCATGATGAATGAGGCATGTCTGACTGCTTACACGTATGTGACACAATGTAAGGAGAGCAGTATTGTAAGGACTACCCTTGTCAAGTACTGGCATTTATTGCTGAATTCAGGGTGTTTGTCATTTATCTTAGCTGACAGGAACTTGTGTTCTGGCATCTGATGGGCAGGGAGATTCAGAGATCCTACCTAAACACTGAATTTCTTCTTACAGTCAAGTGGAGAAACTGTACAGGGAGTGCTTCAGAGAACTTGGCTGGAATTCCACCTCTTCTTCTGAGGCAGGTTGGGCACCAGCATGAGGATGATTTAGCAGCCCTCTTCAAGAGGGCTGAAGGCCAGTCGGTAGGAGGCACTATGCCCATGGTGAGTCTGTACTGTGTTTAACTCAGTGAGTACACTTATCAGTGTACTTACCTGATATTCAGGTCTCCAGCATCAGGGTTTAGGCACTTGCCCAGGAGCTGGGAGATCCAGCCTGCTCAGCAGCATCTAAGCACCACTTCTCCTGCCTGTACCCAGTGCAGGGTCATGGTGGTCAGGCTGAATGTTTGCTTCTAGATCCTTGCAGATTTTTTTGCACAAAAGGCATACTTACCTTTGTCTGGTGTAGCAACCACAATAATTTTTTTTTTCATTTCTTAATTACATTTTCTGAGAAATTGATTCCTTTTTTTCTTTTTTTTTCTATCAGCTGTTATAAAATTGTTCTGTTCCTTCTGCATTACTGAATTACTGCACTAGAATGCTGAAATCATGCAATTCAGTTGGAAGATTAATAGGGTGTGATTTCTTCTTCCAGAGTGAATTCTAAAAGCTGGGTGTCACAGGAGACATGGTTTGTTATCATGGTTTATATTTTGCTTTGGGTGAATATCCTTTATTTCATTGGGAATACGGTAGGTGTGAAAAGTCATCTCCCATTTTATATAGGGATGTATACTGTTTATTACTAATATTTTCCTTTCTTACTTGTTAGTGTCCACCAACAGCATTGTAAAAGTGTTGTTCATATTTATTTAAATAATTTTGCTCATAATAAACTTTTACAAGCTTGCAATTGCTCCCCCTACAGCACCAGTTCTTCAAAGAGAGATGCACATGCCAAATTTTACGCAGTGTGAGTAATCCCATTGCCTTTAAAGAAACTGCCCAATGCACGACATCACTTAAGTCCTTTTAGGAGCAGGTCTAATTTTTGCAGTGTTGAATACTAAGATTGGCATTTTTACCTTTATTTTTGAAGGAGCAAGTGAATGTTTCTGTTGCATGCACTTCACTCACTTTCCCAGGAAGACTTGTTAAAACTTTACTTTGCAAAGATAACAGAGTGATCAGTGATACAGCTTCACCATGTATTCTTAACAGTCTCATTTCTGTGTACTGAACACCAGCTCTTTTCCTTTTTCAAAGCTTTTTTTTATATAGAGATAGTCAAAACACACACCTCCTTGGTGAACTGTGCTGATGATACCTCTTCCTTCGACTGAGATGAAATACTGAGGTCTGAGCTCTAGCCACTTGTGTTTCGATGATAGCCTTCTAGCCACACTTTACCTAATGTGTTCATAGTGCAACTGGCCATTGCATTTGGTTTTGGAGATGGCTGTTTCTCAATAGTGTAAAAAATCACACTTGCATGAATCAGCCATTCTTGCTAGACATGACCTAAAGAAAAGTTCACCTTGAGGACAATCAAGCATTGGAGCATGTTGCACAGCTTGGATAATCCCCATATTTGGAGGTTTTCAGACTGACAAAGCCCTAATAAGATGGTCTGAACATAGTCTTGGCCCTGCTTTGAGCAGGATGCGTGAATCAGTAACTTCTGAGGTTCCTTCCAGTGTTTCCATGAGTCTGTATTGGGGATAACTTCAGGGAATGGCTGAGAACAGCAGTTGCCATGTTTTTCCATTGGTAACTCCATTTCCAGATCTGAGATTCACTTTTGCAGTGGGAAAATTCACAGGGGTTCCAACCCCAAGCCTCAGCTCTCCAGCCCCTTGCTTGAGGAATTTCAGAACTTAGCAGTGTTGTATCTCACGGTTGAAGTTAAGCAAGAGATTTTTTTACGTAATGTATTTTCATGCCCAGCAATTGCAACCTGAGAAATCATTTTCAGTTCAGGGCCTCGTGAAGAGAGCAAGGTGAATGGATACTGAAGTATATAGAGACTGTGGAACGACTGAAAGGAGGTGGCTGACCTTGGATTGGGAACAGTAGGAGTGGGAGCCTGTGCCTGGAGAAAGCCCACAAGCATTTATTGGAGCCTTTGCTAAAAGGCAGCAGACTCTGCAGCTTCTAGCTTCCATGCTTTGCCTTCATCCCTTCATTCCATACTATTTGGATTCTTTCTGAAGAGTTTTTTCAGCACAGCCCCTTCCTTTCTCTCTCTCTTTACCTTGGCTATCATCTCACAACCACGCACTCTCTTTAATTCCCCTAAAGTATGCCTTTTATACCACAGTACCTACTGCAAGTAATTTTTCTCCATTTAAGTAGTGCTTAAACTGATGGGATGAGATGGTACAGAATGGAGCATGTGAAAAAACGTAGCTGCCAAGGGATTTTAATTTTTCAAGTGGTATAACACAATCAATTATATTGTAATTCAACTAAGTAATTCTGTGCTGATGACTTCATCTTCTTTGCATGTCCAAAAAATTCAATGAGATCTCTCTCATACCTTGCCTATGAGAATAGTTTTGTGGACTTCTAGAAGCTACTTATATGCATAGGTGAGCAGGATAAAATGTATTTATGTACAGCTGTTGAAAACATCTAATGCAGTGCTCCTGTGATCATCTAATAGTATTGAAAAAGGGAAAGCTAAACTTCTTAGTATGCATCTTTATACTCAAGTCAGTATAAGATAAAGTATAATATATTTCATAATATATACAAGTAAAATACAACTTTATAATATATTAACATCAGGGACTTTTTCCAGTGTAGTAATTATTTCTGCACAGCATTAGCATGGGGTACTTAGTCTGTTAAAAATTATGCAAAAAGAACATTTCCTGTCTTCTCCATGGTCTGGACCATTTCCTAGATGCATGAGCTTCCTAAAGCTGATGCTATGCTTTGTGAGTCAAGTCGTATGCTGAGAAGCTTAAGCTAAATCCCCTGTAGGAATAACTTTACCAACGTTAGTGGCGTACACTGACCATGAGCATGGCTCAAACATATTAGAAAATACCATTTGCATAAAACTGCATTGTAACTCCATGCCCACACTTCAATCAGTTATCAGAAGTCCCACTGACTTCACCAAGGATTGAGTTTCATCTGAAAGGTCTTGGGGTTTACATTGCATATCATGAAAATCATGTCAGTTTAATAAATATGCAAAGATACTAGACTAGCACCAAGAACGTAACATTGAATAAGAATGGGACACAATGTTCATCTATCCTAATAAATTAGAGATCTCTCACAACTTACCAAACAATGGGGACAGATAAAAATGTTTAAGAGAGGAAAAGCAAATAAATTCCTGCAAAATTTCAGCTGCTTTTTCTACTTGGCTGGGCAGCCTCATTTTTGAATTAGCCTCTAATGAAGCTGTTCAGTCCAAACTCAAGCTGCAAAGCTCTTCAGTCTTTTTTCACTGAAGCAGTGGCAATGGATAAGAGTGTAGAGTTAGTCTCCAAGTGATCTGTCTAACATGAATGTAAATCTTAAGACATTTTGGTTTGCTTCCTTTTTTAATTTATAAATATATATATATTTGATTGCTGTTATATATGTGCAATTCTGGCAGGTCACCTTAGCTTTCAGGTCACAGTGAAAAGAACTGTAGCAACTGATACCTGAATCCAAAAATAATCCTTATGTACTAATCGTATGAATACTTGTTGCTGTCTCCCAAGTATTCATGGTGGTGTGAACTAGGAGAAAGGAACCCATGTATGTCACAGGAAACTAGGTTTCATATTGGCAGGTTCTACTGAACTTAGGGGCACCTGATTCAAAACATTTCTGCTTATGAGAAATGTGCCACTCTTTGCCTCCCCCTGCCCCGGGATCATTTTTGCATAGGAATCTACTTTGTCTCCCGGGGAATCATACAGTAGCTTTTTGATAGTAGGAGTTGAATTTTTTATATGTATCCTTTCATGGATCTGGTCAGGAGGGCATGTAATCAGCAAACCCAAGAGTCAGTGAGCATTTATCTTGTAACACATGGCTGTAAATGCACAGAAATAACTTCAGTGGGAAACTTTAACACTAGAGTGCTTTAAGCTCTCTTTTGAGATTGGAGTTAGATCATTTCAAAATAGTCATGAAAAGTGATTTTAAAGAAATTGCAGGGCTGACTCACTGCACATGCTGTCTTGGGTAGTATCATCTGTTCTATCAACTCTGCTTAAATTGGTTGTATTTTTAGGAAAGAATCCTCACTGAATCACTTTCAATAAAAAGAAAAAAGTGCAGTCCTCAGCGTGTAGATCTCTGCAGGTCACAGAAGAGGTTTACACTTCAGCATTTTACCAAAGAACTAGTAAATGCTTTTGATTCCCTTGCATTAGAGAAGTAGTTGATCAAGTAAGGAGTCCTCTGTTAAGCCAAAAGGACTGGGCAGTTTTGCGTGCCTGTTAATTTTTAATACTTTATTTATTGTTATCAAACAACATAATATTTTATTACTTCTCTTCATGGTTTGTGTTATTAAGAAAACAGTGCCACAACTCTGTTCTTGATCTATTTTGAGCTGTTCTTGATCTTGGTCTGAACTGTAGAATTGGAGCAAACTTAGCATTCTTGACCAGTTTTCAATTCAAGAGAACATGCCTTCTTCCTATGGGTCTCATTTTAGGAAGTTTTTTTAAGGTATACCAGAACACTGTAACATATAATCCCTTTGTTCTACATACCAAAACATGAAAATACTGTCTTTCTCTTTGAAGAGGGTGATTTGATAATGGTCGTTGTTCTTTGGGCAATTAATACTGTTCTG